ACCTTTTGGCCAGCTTATTAATATCTGGATTTTTTTTCTTAAAGCAGCTTTCAAGAACTTCAGCAAGAATAAAAAAATGGTTCCATTTCCTGGTAAGAGAGTATTTCTATATTATCATTTATGGGACACTTATGTATGATATAATACAAGTGACGGTTATGTGCTCAATTATTTGTCCATCTGTGAGTTGCCCCTTTGAAAAATACCAGCAATAGGATCCCTTTCTTCATTGCCCTTGCACTACGTACCCACCAGCCTTTTCCTTTCAGGCAGTCATCCCTGGGTATTATTTGACTTTGTAAGACACTGCACGTTCAGACTATGCCTCAGCCCCCTAAGCCACGTTCTGGACGGTACCATTTCCCAGCCAGTTGACAAATGAAGGTTTTGATGTGCCATCTGGTTGCACTATCTGTCAGTCAGCAGTTCAGTTCAGTTTAGGCAGACTTTTCTTTGTTCAAGTATGCAATAATTTTAATATTTCACTGCATTTACCCTTACAATATTATAAAAAAGAAGTGGAGAAGAGAAAAACAAAGCTGCTGAAACTTGTGATAAGAAGTATAGGTTTCAGGCAAGAGACTTTGGACAAATATGAAAATCGTTAGGCTCACTGCAAGTGGTCAATCTTCAGGCATATTCTGATGCTCATTGGACCGTAGGTTCAGCTCTGAGAAGAAGCAATATAGAACATGTAACAATGCGGGAAATAGCTCATTGAAGATTGTGTTTAAGAGGCAAGGTGAATTCAGAGATGTCCTAAAATGTAAATATATACTATATATTTTGTATGTTATTTTAATATATTATTAATATATATCAATATATTTAATTCTATCTTTAATTTCGTACATTCTAACTTAATATGTGTTTAGGACTGTTTTGTGCATGAAACTAAAGAACCACTGGTTCATTCATTACTTATTCCTTTATTCTTTCATTTATCAAATATTTCCTGAGTACTTTCCCTGTACTAGACTGAGGTGGGCACTGGAGAAGCAAAGATGAGTAAGACATGCTCTCTGCCCTCAAGTTGCTCCCAGTCTAGTGGGGGAGACACACTTCCCAGAGAATCACACTGGGTGCTGCACAGGAATACGTGGGAGGGCACTCAGCTGGCGAGGGAGTAGGGGAGCCGTCCGGGTAATTTAGGGAATTTGCAAGGGGCAATCTGTAGTACTCACAGCCTCTGCCTTTCACTTGGCATATAGTCATATACCTTGTGACAGTTTTTAGTTTTTCTTCTTTAACCCCCCCTTTTGTTTTGTCCGTCAAGCTTTTATGTGAAAGTGAGTATTATGTTCAGTGTGCTTTCACACACGTGACCAAGCTTACACAGCACCATAACCCATGCTTCCTAAAGATCCATATTATTATCCCTATTTTCCAAGAAATAAATAACTGAAACCCAGAAAGGAAACGTGACTCGTCCAAGATTATTCTGCGAGCAGGTAGAGGAGCCAGGACTAACACTGTCTTCATTCAATCATTCTATAAAAACAAAGAGTATTAAACTGCTAACTCTGTACCAGGTTCTAGACTGAAGGCAGAGGAATAAACCTTGAATTAGACATATAAATAAGACTCAGTTTGCTATTTGCAAGAAGCTCATGTCTGTTGGGGCTGGGGGCTCAGATGTATAAACAAGAAAGTCAAGTATAACACGCTGAGGGCTAAAGTAGAGGTAGGTAGTGGATACCTTGGAAATATACAAAAGGGAGAATGATTGACTTTGTCTGGGCTTAGAGAGGCTGCAAGAATTTCTAGAAAATGTTATGGAGAGGATTGTTACAATGAACCCCGAAGGATTAGTAGACATTTACCAGGTAGACACTGAAGAGAAGAGGCTGCTGGGCGAAGGGATCTACATGTGAAAATGCAGGGAGCAATGAAGTATGATGCATTCGGGAAGGTGCAAATAGTTTGATGTAGTTGGAACAAAAAGTGAATGCCAGGGAATAGTGTGAGATGAAGATAGAAATATAGATAAGGTTCAGCTCTTGAAGTCCTTTATATCAGCTAGAGTAGGCTAAGCTAAAAGCGGTAGTGAAAAGATCAATCACCAAACTCAGTGGCTTTACACAGTAAATGTTTATTTCTTGTTCGCACAAAACCTGTGGTTGAGCTGGAAGCTTTCCTAGGTGGCTTCTCTCTAAGTGGTGACTCAAGGATTCTTGATCTCGTGACACGATCATCTTCATGGTCTCCAAATTTGTCACAGGAGGGGGAATGGGTGAGAAGAGGAAGTTGCATCAGGTACTTATCCACCTCAGTGCAGAAGGGACACATCATTTCTGTTCACAGTTCATTGGTCCACACTAGTCATTTGGCCCCACCTGGATGCAAGACCGCTGGGAAACACAGTTTTTGGAACTCTACACTATGGAAGGAACCCTAGTGGCACAGTGGTTAAGAGCTCGGCTGCTGACCGAAAGGTTGGCAGTTCAAATCCACCAGCCGCTCCTTGGAAACCCTATGGGACAGTTCTACTCTGTCCAGTAGTGTCACTATGAGTTAGAATCAACAAGATGGCAATGGGTGTGCTGGTGCTCCACTATGGAAAAGGAACAGAAATCTTTGGTAGTCAGCTAACTATTTCTGCCATGCCCTTGTTTGTCATTCTGTGGATTTTTGTCTTTATCCTGTCGTTGTTAGGTGCCTTTGAGTCAGTTATGACTCACAGCAACCGTATGTACAACAGAATGAAACACTGCCCAGTCCCACACCGTCCTCATGATTTTGCTATGCTTGAGCTCATTGTTGAAGCCACTGTGTCAATCCATCACGTTGAGGGTCTTCCTCTCCTTCACCGATCCTCCACTTTACCAAGCATGATGTCCTTCTCCAGGGACTGGTCCCTCCTGATAATATGTCCAAAATATGTGAGACGAAGTCTCACCATCCTCACTTCTAAGGAGTATTCTGGCTGTACTTCTTCTAAGATAGATTGCTTCATTCTTTTGGTAGTCCATGGTATATTCAACATTCTTTGCCAACACCATAACTCAAAGGCATCAATTCTTCTTTGGTCTTCTTTATTCACTGCCCACCTTTTGCATGCATACGAGGCAATTGGAAACACCTTAGTCCTTAAAATGACATCTTTTTTTAACATTTTAAAGGATTTTTTGTGGCAGATTTGCCCAGTGAAATTCGTCATTTGATTTTTTGACTGCTGCTTCTGTGAGTGTTGATTGTGGATCCAAGTAAAATGAAATCCTTGCCAACTTCAATCTTTTCTCCAATTATCATAATGTTGCATATTGGTCCAGTTGTGGGGATTTTTGTTTTCTTTATGTTGAAGTGGAATCCATGTTGAAGACTGTAGTCTTTGATTTTCATCAGTAAGTGCTTCGAGTCCTCTTCACTTTCAGCAAGCAAGATTGTGTCATCTGCATAATTATTTGCTCAGCATACAGATTGAATAAATATGATGGGGAAGGATTCAACCCTGAAACACATCTTTCTTGACTTTCAACCATGCAGTATCCCCCTGTTCTGTTCAAATGACTGCCTGTTGATCTAGATACAGGTTCCTCATGAGCACAATTAAGTGTTCTGGAATTCTCGTTCTTTGCAATGTTATCCATAATTTGTTATGATCCACACAGTTGAATGCCTTCACATAGTCAATAAAACACAGGTAAACATTTTTCTGGTATTCTCTGCTTTCAGCAAGGATCCATCTGCCATTAGCAATGATAACCCTCATTCCACACCCTCTTCTGAGTTTGGCTTGAATTTCTGGCAGTTTCCTGTCGATGTACTGCTGCAACCGGTTTTGAATACTCTTCAGCATTATTTTACTTGATGTTAATGATATTGTTTGATAATTTCCGCATTTGGTTGGATCACCTTTCTTTGGAATAGGCATAAATATGGATCTCTTCCAGTTGGTTGGCCAGGTAGCTATCTTCCAAATTTCTTAGCATAGACGAGTGAACACCTCCAGCACTGCATTCATTTGTTGAAACATCTCAATTGGTATTCTGTCAATTCCTGGACTTTGTTTTTTGCCAATGCCTTCAGTGAAGCTTGGACTTCTTCCTTCAGTACCATTTGTTCTTGATCATATGCTACTTCCTGAAATGGTTGAACGTTGACCGATTATTTTTGGTACAGTGACTCTGTGTATTCCTTCCACCTTCTCTTGATGTTTCCTGTATTGTTCAGTATTTGGCTCATGGAATCTTTCACTATTATGACTTGAGGCTTGAATTTTTTATTCAGTTCTTTCAGCTTGAGAAATGCTGAGCATGTTCTTCCCTTTTGGTTTTCTATCTCCAGGTCTTTGCATATGTTATTATAATACTTTACTTTGTCTTCTCCAGCCACCCTTTGAAATCTTCTGTTCAGCTCTTTTACTTCATCATTTTTTCTGTTCACTTTAGCTACTCAGCGTTCAAGAGCAAGTTTCAGAGTCTCTTCTGACATCCATTTTGGTCTTTTCTTTCTTTCCTGTCTTTTTTAATGACCTCTTGCTTTCTTCATGTATGAAGTCATTGATGTCATTCCCCAACTCGTCTGGTCTTCAGTCATTAGTGTTCAGTCTGTCAAGTCTATTATTCTTGAGACAGTCTCAAAATTCAAGTGGGATATACTCAAGGTTGTACTTTGGCTCTTGCAGACTTGTTCTGATTTTTTTCAGCTTCAGTTTGAACTTATGTATGAGCAATTGATGGTCTGTTCCATAGTCGGCCCCTGGTCTTGTTCTGACTGATGATATTGAGCTCTTCCATCATCTCTTTCTTCCGATGTAGTCGATTTGATTCCTATGTATTCCATCCAGTGAGGTCTATGTGTATAGTTGTCGTTTATGTTGTTGAAAAAAGGTATTTGCTGTGAATAAATTATTGGTCTTGTAAAATTCTATCGTTCAATCTCCGGCATCGTTTCTATCACCAAGGCCATATTTTCCAACTACCGAACCTTCTTGTTTCCAACTTTCAAATTCCAATCACCAGTAATTATTAATGCATCCTGATTGCATTATCCTGTAGGTAATGTTAAAGCAGGGGGATGATGTGATCGAATTCATGTTTTTAAAAAATCACCCAGATAGCAGGGGGAAAGGGAAAAGTAAGAGCACTATGTGATACTCACAGTAGTCTAGCTATTGAAAGGTGAAGGACTGGACCCAGGCTGTGGGGAATAGATAGGAAATAATAGATTTTTGGGAGTAGAACAAATTGATTGGAGTTGGCCACAAAATTGATATGAGTGGCAAGGATGAAATTGAGGTTGAGGTTTCTGGATTGGAGTTTGGGTATTTCAGAAATACCTGAAAACAAGAGAAATAACAGGTTTTAGAGGGAAGGTAACATTTAAACACGCTGAGTTTAAAATACGTAAGTCAATCTCTCAGGTAATGTGAAGCTTCTAGCTGATGATGTCTTTACACATTTTATTTTAAATAGCTTTGTTTTCAGTTTTTAGGAGTGTTCTTGCAATTAATTACCAAATGGCATTTGTCACTGTAGGAATAGATGGTATAGTAACATGCAGCTTGGCCAGTGAAAGATTAATAAGTACATGACACTTTTTCTGAGCTCTGTAGGTTATTTTTCATGTGTTGACGTCTATTCTAGAGAACACTGGCTCTGGATTCTTCTGTACTCTGATTTCTTTCTTTTAAATTTTACTAAAAGTACTTTCCCTACTTCAGTGACTAACAGAAAAATTCAGAGTCCAATTTTTAAACAACTAAAGCATTATATCTGTTTCATTAATATTTGTAACATATTTTCTATTCTTGCTTCTCTGATACTATCCTATCCTATTTTTTTAATAATTACTTGAGATTGTATTTCTAAATGAGAGTAAAAGTGATAATGTATGTAAAAGCATATTGTAACTACAGTACACTATGTAAAAATTATTACTGTTTAATATTATTTCTGTCACTATTAGTTACATAGCAGCCACATTTGGTGTATTTAACTTGGTTTAGATGGCTTTATGTTTATTGGTGATTTTGTTTTATTTTGTTTACTGAAAACAAGAAAAAGAACCATATGACATTCTAGAGGAAAAAAAATCACACGAACTACTAGAAACTCCAGTAAAAGTAGAAGCCCAAAGAAAACCACCACTGGAACAACAATTACAAGAACAGTCATCACCAAGACAACAAGAACAAATACCTGAGAAAGAAGAATCCCTTGGACAGTCATCACCGAGACTATCATCTCAAGAACAAATACGTGAGAAGCAGGAATCCCTTGAACAGTCATCACTGAGACAATCATCTCAAGAACAAATACCCAAGAAACAGGAATCCATTGAACCACCATCACCGAGACAATCATCTCAAAAACAAATACCTGAGAGACAGGAATCTCTTGAACAGTCACTACCAGAGCAACAAGCCCAAGAAGAAGCACCTGAGAAGCCAGAATCCCTTGAACAGTCATCACCAAGACAATCATCTCAAGAACAAATACCTGAGAAACAGAAATCCCTTGAACAGTTATCCCTGGGGCAGCAAGCCCAAGAACAAGTACCTGAGAGAGAAGAATCCCCTGAACAGCCATCACCAAGTCAATCACGTCAAGAACAAATACCTGAGAAACAGGAATTCCTTGAACAGTCATTGCCGAGACAACCATCTGAAGAACAAATATCTGAGAAACGGGAATCTCTTGAACAGTTACTACCAGAGCAACAAGCCCAAGAACAAGTACCTGAGAAGCAAGAACCCCTTGAACAGTCATCACCAGAGCAACTATCTCAAGAACAGATGCCTCAGGAACAACAAACCCAAGAACAATTATCATGAAACCAAATAATCAACCATGTTGTGAAGGACAACAGTCCGAAGCTAGAAAGGATGATAAGGCAAATGAAAATAAAATTAGACATTTTTTTTCACATTATGCTGAAGAGGTATGGCAGTAGATTATTAAAAATCTTGAATTTCATATTTTGGTTGCCAAATTTTTTAAAAAAATGATTAAGACTAAATTCATCTGAAATTTCCTCCTCTGTTCCCTGAAGGAGCCCTGGTGGTACAGTGGTTAAGCGCTGGGCTGCTAACAGAAAGGTCAAACCCACCAGCCAATCCTCAGGAAAAAGCTGTGGCAGTCGACTTCCGTGAAGATTTACAGCCTTGGAAACCCTATGAGGCAGTTCTGCTCTGTCCTACAGGGTTGCTGTAAGTCAGAACTGACTCAACAGCAGTGGGTTTGTTTTGTTTGTTTCCTGAATGTAAAGGTGGGAGGGGACGAGCATGGCCAGTGAGATTTAGTGTATAATTCATATGGCCCAGACCTTCCCTTCCTCTTCACACACCAAACAATGCCTGGTATTTCAGAGTGATTCGGCCACCCTGAAAATAGTATGTATATTTACATAGTTACCTGTAATTTATTTTTCTTATTTAAAAGTGAATTAAGGCATCTTAGAACAATTATACATATTATGTGTATATATATGTGTGTGTGTATATATATGCCATATGTATGTACGACATATGCCGTATGTATGTTTGTGTGTCCATGGAATAGTATATTTTTGGTGGTTTAGATAATGGACTCTGAGGTCAAACTACAAAGGTGTGGCTTCCCCATTTATTCAGTGTGTGAATTAAGTCTGCCTGAGCTTACTCACCCATAAATTGGGACCAGTGATAATACCTATCTCATAGGTTGTTGAGATAATTTAAAAAGATAATACATCCTGTGAAGCATTTAGAACAGTACTGGGCTCATGGAAAGCACTAAAAAACAATGTTATCTTTTATTGTTATTTTATTTTGGCTCTTGTCTTTTTTGTTATTACATGAAAGAAGACAAGCAGATTATTCTATCCAGAGCCTCTGCTTAGATGATTACTGCATTTGAGTCTAGAGTTTACTCTGCGCTTCTCAACTGCCAGAACAAAAATGGAAACATTACGGATTTTACGATTGTCAGAGTCTAGTTAACGATCAAATCAGTTCTTCACCACCTTTTTTTTTTAAAAAAAACTTTGGTATAATAATCCTTTATTTCATACGAAAATGTAATTGTGCAACAGTTATTAGGAAAGTTGAATACTACGTGGAGTATGTGGGCTTAGGAGTAGTTTTCAAATCTGTAGCACAAACCAAAGAAATCCTATATGATTTACACAGTTGTTCAAGCAAACACAAGCAAACTTCGGTTCTGTTTCTATAAACTATCAAAAAGAGGACAAAAAATCCTTCTGACTTAAATCAATCAGATTTTGACCAGCAGCTTTTCAACATCACAAAATAAAAAATAGAAATAGATCTTTCTATTGTAAAACAGTTCTCAGTCCACAGTGCTTTGAATAATCTTGTTAGAGCAAGTTGTTGCTGCCACTGCCAATGCTCCCTGCCGAGGCAACGGATTCATGGAATAGTGTTCCAAGAAGTCGAAAGCAGCAGCAGTGGGAGCATAATACTGTAGTTTTTTTATTCCCAGAGTCTATAAGATCCCAAGGCTATTGCGAGGTAAGTAAACACTGAGGCTGCTAGATAACGAGTTGTCTCCAGTCTGTTAGAGTCCATCAGTGTTTTTAAGGAAGCAATTCCAGTGTCAGTTTTATTACTGGTCTCTGAAACAACTCTTTTGGTTTGGATATCCTTTTTGGTACATCCTGTGGTCGCTTCCATAAGTTTCTTTTCTTGATCTGTAAACATATTTGTTACTCTGCTCCTTTCTAGGTTAATGTCCAGCTTATTATCTGCTGTGATTCGACTGGTTTCATTTATCAGTGGCTGTTTAACTTGGTCTAATTCAATTTTCATGTTCTTGTTCTCTGCTCTCAGATTTGCAAATTCACTTTTCTCTAGGATGACCATTTCTTTCCTAATAGAATCCAAATGAGCCATTAGCTGTTGTACTGTTATTTCCTGTTGAGCTTGAGTGACCATTTCCTTATGATAGTATCAGGCTGACATTCGATAAACTGCTTAAGGCTGATACAGATCGCTTCTGCTTGTGCTTTGTCAAAGCCATGAGTTTCCAAGTCCTGAACTAATGCATGAGTATCAAAAGTTAATTTCCTTTGCTCTAAAGGAGTTACGTCGGCTCACATGACATCATATCCTTCCTTGGTTGTGGTGGTTTAGAAGTCTTTCTGCAGGGCTGGCTGTGGTGGGTGGTGGTGGGAAGGGAAAAATCAGTAGCCCCTGCTGCCTTCACAGCCCGGGAACTAACTATAAAACCCAGCAACTCCTCATGGCCCCAGTTCCCCTGCTGGCGGAAGGAGGCCACCGTCTGTTAATCAGCTATACAGTGTTGCATATGAAAGGTTAAAGAAAAACTATTCTTTCATGATATTTATAGTTTCTTAACTCATTGTCATGGATCCCTGGTGGTACAGTGGTCAAGAGCTCTACTGCCAACCAAAAGGTCAGCAGTTCAAATCCACCAGCCCCTCTTTGGAAACCCTATGGGGCAGTTCTACTCTGTCCTAGAGAGTTGCTATGAGTCAGAATCGACTCAACAGCAACGGGTTTGGTTTCTTTTTTAGTTTATTGTTAGACTTGACTATATAGCATTTGTTAAATTTAAGGAGAAAATACATAGTCAAGTGCGGATCATCTCCATCATCATTAGCTTTCTTTAGGTAATTAATTCTGGTAGAGAGTCCAAGGAGCCCTGGTGGTGTGGTGGTTAAGCACTCGGCTGCTAACCAAAAGGTCTGTGGTTTGAACCCACCGGTCACTCTGTGGGAGAAAGATGTGGCAGTCTGCCTCTGTAAAGATTACAGCCTTGGAAACCCTATGGGATAGTTCTGCTCTGTCCTAAAGGGTCGCTATGAGTCCGAATCGACTTGACGGCAACAGGTTTGGTTTTTTGGTTTTGGTAGAGAGTCTACTTTGATTTAGCTGCAGGCTTAGTACGTATTTTGGTTTTTGAAATAGAACTTTGCAACTGCACTTTCCATTCCTTCTTGCCTGTGACTTCACTTCTGGTTATCCTAGAGCCTATAGTTCCGACAAGCATGTGACTGTGGAAGAGAATGGATTACGGGTAAGAGAAACAGAGTTCTAGTCCCGATTCCACCTTTTGTTGGCCATACGGTGCTGAGCAATTTACTCATCCTCACTGATAATTACTTTCCTTTTCTGAAAAATGAGAATGATAATAGAATCACAGACCATTAGAACTGGAAGCAAATGTAGAGATCATGAAGTTGACAGCAGACATTGTACATTTGACCAGTAGTGAGTCACGTAGCTTGTCTGAAGTCACGTGTGACCTATGGCTTGTGGGTAGCACGGGGAATGAACTTGAACTCATGCTTTTTCTTCTTCTTCCTTCTCTCTCTCTCTTCCTTTATAAAAAATGTATTCTGGATTCACTATAATATCCATCCTGCCTTAGTATAAGGTTGTTGTGTGAATCAATGAAATAAAAATTTAAGCACTCTGAGATTCATGGTACTGTGGTGTCTTGCGTGTTGCTATGACACTGGAAGCTATGCCCCCAGTATTTCAAATACCAGTAGTATCACCTATGGTGGACAGGCTTCAGCGGAGCTTCCGGACTCGGATGGACTAGGAAGAAAGGCTTGGAAATGTACTTCTGAAAATCTACCAATGAAAATCTAATGGATCATAACAGAGTATTTTCTGATAGAGCGCTGGAACATGAGCCCAAACGTACTGAAGATCATGACGATGGTGCAGGTCTGCCTGGTTAGTGTTTCATTCATAGGGACGCAATGAGTTGGAGTCAACTCCATGGCAACTTACAACAATACTGGTGTAAGATAGATTCATTTTATTTTAATAGATACATAAATATTAGTTTATTTTAAAACATTGCATCTATATGACATCTATGTTTGGAGACCAGTTTTATTAAAAAAAGAAAAAACTTAAAACCTCATGATCCAGAGTGGTCTGGGCATCAGGTGGATGGAGTAAATAACTCTTCAAGAGAGTTATTCAGTGTTGAACAAAAAATGCAGGTTCAAACAATATCCTGATGTCTTAGTACATTTAAAACTGGAGGTGGCGGTGGTTGGAGGGGGTCGAAGATGGAAGGGGCGGCAAGGATATTTTTAGATAAGCTGAAACAAAACTATCACTAACGCTGAAGAAAAGTTAATTTCAAAATAAATTCTTAAAGTTGTGTTTTGCATGAATTGCCTGCTTGGCAGTGCGCTGTTGGCTGGATAAGCTGCGCTTAGCTCTCATGTCCTTGCTGCAGATCCTGGATTCCTGGCAGGCTGCTACCCATCTTGCTTTTCTCCCAAGAAATAAACCGATAATCGAAACTATAACAGGAATTCCAGTTCTTGTTAGAACTGGAAGTCAAATGCAGCTAGATCACAGCTTTAAGAAGTTTTTTTTTTCCCCAACCTGCTTTTCTATGTCTTTCAGATGGCCTGGGAGTGGAGCCCAATAAATTAAAAAAAAAAAAAAAAAAAAAGCACCTTTATATCTACTTGAAGTCAATTTTTCTTCAGTCATGGGTCATCCATTTTTAACAGCAAGAAAATCATGTCTGGGGTGAAATTAAAGCCCAAGCTCGGGTGTCTTCTCAAAAGTTGAAGATGGGGGTTTCCCAATTGAATTCCGTATTCTCCTGACTTCCTCTCTTGGTGATATTTCTTGTTAGCAAATATTTAAATGTGGTACTTCATAATTAAGCCTCACAAAGATCTTTCAGAAAACCAGAGGGATTTGAAATAACCCGTGTACATTTCCCCTGTCATTATTGCTTTTTTCCTTGGAATGTGTATTGGAAGGTATTGTTTCATTTTTTACAACTTGGAAGTTCTCACAAAGAGTTGTCTAGAACCTCCACTATATGAAGT